CCTGGGGAGTTTGGGGCACACAGGACCCTGGGGACATCAGTCCTGGTGGTTTTGGGGCGCTCAGACCTTCAAGGACATCACCCCAGTGGGGTTTGGGGTGCACAGACCTTCAGGGACATCACCTGGGATGGTCCCTGTGGGGTTTGGGGTGCACAGGACCCTATGGACACCCACCCAGAGGGGTCCCTGGGGTGTTTGGGGTACTCAGATCCTCAGGGACATCAATCCTGGGGGGTTTGGGGTGCTCAGGATCCTGAGGAAACCAACCCAGAAGGGTCCCTGTAGGGTTTGGGGTACTCAGACCTTCAAGGACAGCAATCCAGAGGGGTCCCTGGGGTGTTTGGGGTGCTCAGAACCTCGGGAACATCACCTGGGATGGTTCTTGTGGGGTTTGGGGTGTGCAGGATCCTGGGGACACCAACCCATGGGGTCCCTGTGGGATTTGGGGTGCTCAGGATCCTGAGGAAGCCAACCCAGAGGGGTCCCTGGGGTGTTTGGGGTGCACAGACCCTCAGGGACAGCAATCCAAGGGGGTCCCTGTGGGGCTGGGTAGGGTTTGGGAGGTCCCCCCCAGCTCTAAAGGAGGGTTTGGGGTGCTGCCCTTGCCTGGCATTGTTGTCCTGGAGGGGGCATCACCCAGTTCCCAACCCTGAGGGGGTTCCTGGGGAGTTTGGGGTGCTCAGACCCTTGTGGACATCAACCTTGGGGAGTTTGGGGTGCTCAGGATCCTGAGGAAACCAAACCCAGAGGGTTTTGGGATGCTCAGACCTTCAAGGACATCAACCCAATTGGGTTTGGGGTGCACAGGATCCTGAGTAAACCAATCCAGAGAGGTCCCTGTGGGATTTGGGGTGCTCAGGACCCTGGGGACATCAACCCTGGGGGTTTTGGGGTGCACAGCACCCTGAGGACACCAATCCTGGAGGGTTTGGGGTGCTCAGACCCTCCGGGACGTCACCTGGGATGGTCCCTGTGGGGTTTGGGGGACACAGGACCCCATGGACACCAACCCAGAGGGGTCCTTGTGGGGTTTGGGGTGCTCAGACCCTCCGGGACGTCACCTGGGATGGTCCCTGTGGGTTTTGGGGGACACAGGGACACCATCCCGGGGATCCCTGTGGGGTTTGGGGTGCACAGGACCCCATGGACACCAACCCAGAGGGGTCCTTGTGGGGTTTGGAGTGCTCAGACCCTCCGGGACATCACCTGGGATGGTCCCTGTGGGTTTTGGGGGACACAGGGACACCGTCCCGGGGATCCCTGTGGGGTTTGGGGTGCACATCATGGGACTCATCCATGGCCTCATCCTGTTCTCTCCCCCTTCCCCCCATCCCTCATCTGCTGCTTGGCCCTGGGGGACCCTGTGGGTTGGGGAGGGGGGAGGAGGGGCTGTTTTATGGACTATATTTTGGGGAGGGGGGATATGGGGGGGTGTCTCTGTTCCATGTCAGTGTTATTAAAAAAAGCTTATTTATTATCAGAAATATAACACCTACCTATGTGCAGCCCTGCCTGGCCCTGTGCTTTGGGGCGGGATTTTGGGTTTTGGAGGCTTTTGGGATGTTTTGGTGTCACCGCTGATGATTGATGTGATCGGGGCGTCTCTTGGAGAGGGGGGGTGCCAAAAGAGTCCCCCCACTTATTCTGCCCCCACGTTCTGCCTGGGACCCCCCGATCTTTGTGAATAGGAGGGTGAGGCTCCTGCAGGGACACTGATCTGGGGGTCCCTGGTGAGTTTGGGGTGCTTGAAGCTGCTGATCTGGAGGAGTCCCCGTGACATTTGGGGTGTGCAGGGACATGGGGGACACTGACTCGGGAGGGTCTCTCCAGGCTTTGAGGTGCTCTAGGCCGTGGGGACCTCAT